ATGTATAATATAATGTGTATTGTTTATTTGGTAAATTCTARTAGYTTAGAAATTTTGATATTTTTGTAAAATTTAAAAGAATAATTAAATAAATATTACTACACCCAAAAATCATTTTTTTCAGTGTAACATGGATTATCTTCTGAAGTCAACTTAATGCAAGATGGCCGCCATAGTTTACACAGTTTAACAAATGCAAAAATTGCTTTAACTCAGTCAGTTTTACAGATACTGAGCTCGAATTTGGGTTGGTAGCTGAGAGTCATTTGCAGCATAAAATACCTTTAAATAAAACGTTGGCGAGCATGACAGCAGACAATATGCATTCAAGAAATGCTTCGTTGTTGTAGCCTTGTTGTCTATTCCCTCAATTTCAAGTTTCAACTTGTCAGACTGGAGAGCTCCTCTCCACCAGCTCACCAAAGCTTTCAGCACGTTCAGTATATCCATAAATACTGGACTTCTGCTGCCATCAGCTTCTTTTCTAATCGCTTTCATTGTCCCACAAAAGACACCGCAGCAGATTTGCTGTCTGCCTCAGCACACGGGTGGGTCAGTGAAATGAGAAGAACAGTATTCAGTTTCCAGATAACCAGCATGTAAGTCTAGAGGTGGCCATATAGGCTTACAGTAGATTTCAGCTTTTATTCGCTAGCGTTGTTTCTAACGTGTCAAGTTTTTCAAGAACTGAGTTCTTAAATTAGAATTTATCCAGTTATACATCCATGCAGCTGGCCGTGATAATAAAACAACCAAAGTTTCTTTTTGTATCAACATTTGTTTGAGGATAAAAACGTCAAACTGCTCTACATTTCCTACCAAACGTAAGCATCGAGGTGGCTCCTCCCTACTAGCTGATCTCCAGTCAGGTAGGTGTTGTGTGAAGAGGAGATGAAGTAGCTGGGGAGAGGCTGGTTCATGTCCTGATACACTGACGTGTGGCTCTGGTTGAACACGCAGCAGTCTTTGGACTCCATGTATCGGAGGAAGCCTTCAAACGTCATGGATCTGTTTTCTCTGGCTGGGAGAAGAAGAGGAGGAGGAGGGGGAAGCAAGCTGAACATTTTGTCAGTGATAGAGGAGAACAGCAGCCCACTCAAAAGACAGATAAATAGTTTCCATTGATGAAATATTAAGGATTGTGTTGATCTAATATGTTCAATAAGTATATGTATTCAGACGTGTTTTTTTGCTTATGATTTTTGATGAAAGTGTCTGAAACGTTTATAAAACCAGTGAGTTTGAATCAAATCTATGAGCATTTGCAGTATTCTATTCAGATGATGTATTTCAATGATGACTGAAGTGACAGTGTTCAAAAAGGCTGGCCTTTTGAAATAACCGAAGCAATGTTTTAAAACCCTGGAAATCTGCTTTATGTCTCACTGCTGTGTCTCAGCCAGACGAGTTGGAACTGGGCCATCACTAACAACATTTTTTCCCTCCAGGCGTTTTCCTGCTGAGACAAGTTAACTGTTCCTGTAACAAAGGTTAATTTAATTGCCCCAGTGATTTACATCTTGTGCAGCTGATTAGGAGGATTACAGTAGCTGTCAGATTTGGGCGGAATTGTGTCAAATTCGGCGGCTGAGTCGTGGACATTTTTGAGACGAAAGCAACAATTTATGAAACAATCATCAGAAATCATTTGCAGAGATAAAACAAAACAACATGAAACCAGAAGATTTGAATGCAAAATTATCCATTTTATGCTCAATTAGAATTTAATGTGTTATATGTTTTAAAAGAATTGAGATGAAGCAATTGGAGAAAAAACTTGGTACATTTCACAATAAAAGGCCTAGCATTCCTTGAAGGAACACATACTGGCCTCCTTCCGTACCTAGGATTTAAGCCAAGACTTTATGAGTAGAAGGGATGGAGTCGTAGCACATTTGTTCAAGCCTTGTAAATAAGGCTGTGTGTGATCTCATGCAATATTGTGAGATTTTACACATTCTGTTCGTACTTATAGTATGTGTTGTGAGTGACCCTCAGGTAGTACCTCAGCAAATATCAGTTCCATATCTGCTAATTTTACTTAGTTATAGCTACTTTTGTGTTGGATAGAGTCAGTTGGCTGTGGCGGCCATCTTGAATTTAGTTGACTCCCAAGTCTAATGAGTTAGGGGTTCTGATACCATTTTTTTTTTCTCAAACTGAGAACGAGTACTTCATTTTGTATACTCACTAATACCTGGTGCCAATACTGAGTACTAACTGAGTTAGAACATAAACAGTACACTATAGCATCAAAAATGCATTTTTTTATTTAGAACAGTTTGTCTCTCCTTCCTTGTAGGCCTACAGCTCCTCTGACTAGATTAAATCAAATATACAGCATGATACTTTATATACTGTTGTAACATTTTAAAATAAATAAAAATAATAAACAAGCTTTTTTCAGCTTGTAGAATTTTTAACATTGAACTGACAAATGTTTAACTTGACATGTAAACTGTCAGTGTCAACTTGACGACGGCACGTAGCCGAAACGCGTCCTGTTTTCTGCCCTTATTAAAACCATGGTATTTTTTGGAGGGCTGGTTATCCCATTTTCTTTTATTCTTCAGAACCAGGCACCCTTTTACTCTTCTCCCTTTTTTTATAAGGTAATTTGAGTTGTGCGCACTAAATTTTTTTTCTAATTATACCTATTAAGACAAATAGAAAAAGTTTCATACAGAAAAAAGACTTTTGACTATTAAAAAAAAACAAACTTTAAGACAGGTCAGTTTGACCCACAACATAACAGGAGGGTTAAATTAATTGTAAAATTTTAATTATTGATTTATGGCAACAAAATAACAAGTTTAAAAGGTGAAAGATAATAATATTTGTTCGGACCTTTAGCTGCTGGCTTTGAGTAACTGTGGCCCCTGAGCAATTTAATTAAATAACTTTGTATTAATGTATCAAAGCTGCTTTAAAGTCAGAATTGACCATAAACTACTGTATGTCTCCCATAATACATGTCGATTATGTTACCCGCAAAAAAGCTGCATCTTACCACTAGGTGGAGGTGCACAGGATTCAAAAGTAACCAGCAGTTGGCAAAATTCATCATGTAAAATCTCCATTTCACTGCATTTTAGCCAGCTACTTTTGATACGGCCCAGTTGTACTGTGAAGTGGTAATTTCCCGCCTACATGGAATGCTCCTCAAGTGGGAATTCCCTGTTAGAATGTGGGAGAGTTCAGAATTCAAGATGGCAGCTATTTATCACAACTAAACAGTGAGTAAAACTTTTACTTTTAATTGTATTTCTGTATTATTTACTTCACATTTTGTCTTTTGTACACATACACTGCAAAAAATGTCCACCTAACCAAGTTTTAAAATCTTATATCCAGCCAAAAAGTCTTCTTGATCTTGTTTTGAGACTGATTTACTAAAAAAGAACTGATTGTGTAAGAATAATAATCTTGTTTTCAGAATGTGTAAGTTTATTTGTCTTGTTAGCCTGAAAATTTGACTCAAATTAATTGAAAATTTTCTGGCAATGGAGTAAGAAAACTTTATTAGTAAGATTCTTGAAATAAGAAAAAAAAATTGATTCAAATCAAGCATTTCAAAAATCTTACCAAGTAAAAATTTCTTACTCCATTTGCAGAATTTTTTGACTGAATTTGAGTCAAATTTTCAGGCAATCAACACAAATAATCTTATGCATTCTGAAAACAAGATTATTATTCTTACACAATCAGTTCTTGTTTAGTAAATCAGTCTCAAAACAAGATCAAAAAGACTTTTTGGCTGGATANRAGRTTTTAAAACTTGGTAAGATGGACAGTTTTTGCAGTGTAATACTTCTCAGTGTTTATAAGAGAACATGTTGAAACACTGTCTCTATGCAGGAAATACCACACAGAGCTCAGTTTGTTAGCTGTGCTCCTCCATAACAATGAGACGAGGAACATTACATTTCATGTTTAGTTGAAGTTAAACAAGAAATGTCAAAGTTATTTACAACTGACCCTTTGAGGGTCACTATGATACTTATGTAGCCCTTGGTGAAAATTAGTTTGACACCCCTGCTATAGACAAACACACACAGACACAGAAAAAATATATATTTCTCCTTTGTGCTTCCAGTGTTCGGCAACATGTCAGCAACATGACTGAACCTAAACAGAACACCTCAGAGATTAGAGGAAAAATTCAACTGTTAAAAAAACTTGTTAGTTTGATTAACTTGATTGTCCTTATAAAAATTAGAGACCTTGCTGTCATTCATGCTTTGCTCAGTGAAGGCTTTGATTAATTCAGCTAACCACATTCTGTGTTTTATGTCAAACACTGAAATAAAAATGGTCTAGATAACGTGGAATGCCTGCAAGCCAGTGAAAAATGTGGAGCGTTGTGAAAATTTCAACAAATAAAAACACAGAAGGCAGCTGAATTTATACTCATGCAAGAAAATAATAAACTAAAAAAAATGATGTAACATGGTAGTAAACATGCTCCAAATTTTATGCGGGGTGCTGGCATCATAAATTAACATGCATATTTCCAAGAAAGAAGAAGAATAAAAACTACTTCTTGACAGCTGTGTTTCGCTCATTATATTGTTTTCAATAAAGATTTTCTGTGTTTATACAGCACTTCAATATTTTTGGGTTGGGTGGGGAAGAAATTGCTTGATTTTCTTTGCAAAAAAAAAAAGAATAAATAAAAACTCACACACCTTAAATATTTTCAACCTTAATGACATGCGGCAAGCTCACGCTTCACTCACCTGCCTCTTCTATTTCATATCTGTCAATCAGGCTGTGTGCCGTCTCTTCGTCTGATGCTTGTTCCATTTGCTCCGTGTGGAGGAACGTCAGGAGGCCAGCTGCAGGCAGCGTGGTGAAGCCTCCAGTGTAGCTCTGGAACAGCAGCTGGATCTCAGCTCTCCTGGAGGTGGACGGCTTGCTTTTCTTCATCTCCCCTCCTGCACGACAACTAAACTAAGAAAAAAAAACAGCTTTATATTCCTCGTTGATGATGCGGCGAAGACGCGTTTTGCCACATTGCTGAACATTCATCGCTGTGTGGGTTAAAAGAGAAAAGTGTCAAGTTTAAGCTCATTTGAGGTTTAATGGTTCAGCTTGAACTTCATGTTGTCATCTTGGTAATATTTGATTTTTCAAAGGCACGGCGGATCACTGAAAATATACAAGAAACAGAGAACAGAAATGTCAACAACAAGAAGACACATCCCGGTGTTTACCTGGGTTCACAGTTAGAATAATACTTTTAAAAACTAGATAAGAGGGAATACCAAAACTATGAAAAAAGAGCTGGGCTCTGCCTCCACAAAGTGTTGGAGGGACTCATGTTAGTGCTTCTCTTCCACTTGTCAGGAAGACACTTTCTCTGTTTTTTTTTTAATTTATTTTTTCCCTCTGTACCTTTCACATCTTTGTTCTACAGCCCTTCAAAGTTCAGACATACGTGCCAGTGTTGTGTCCCAGTGGGCCAGTCGTTCATCTAAACCCATCTGCTGCCATGGGAACAACGCGAAAACTAACTAAATAAATAAATAAATAAACGGTCTGCTGCCACTTTCACTCACCGTTTGTGACTGCAATAACTGAACTTTCATGCGATTCACGTCTAACCCGAGCACGGCCATCAAACTTACATGAGGGAATAAAAGTTTCACGTTTTTTACACTAACAGGACAGCGTGGAGCAGCTGCGCACATTTTTAATGTTTCCTCCCTTAAATTCAATTTGATACCATTTAAACAAAACCTACCTCGGACAGGAACCACAGCTGAATCTCTGAAGTGAAGTTGTGTTGTTATTATTGATGACTTGTAATCGTTCGTGCATGAAAATACCTCAATGTTTTTTTAGCAGGTTTCTAAGGAAGCGCACAGAATTGTTGCTATGGTGACAAAACATTCCAAATGTGGAGAGGTGATATGCGAGAAAAGGAAAAAAATAAAAAAATAAAAACATACACTGCAGGTTTTCTTTGAAGGCCGGCAGAAGATTGAACATTTTTCTAAATGTGTGTTAAAATTGTTTTTAAAAGAATACATTTTGCCCACTGCCTTTTCTGAACTGTTTAAATCAAAAGGATATTGCAGTCTCTTGTTGTCACACTCATTTGTAGGCCTGTTTTGATGACGCTCATCTACTGAATTTTAGCTCAGTTTATATAAAGTTGACTGAATCATAGCCATTTGTGAGTTTTCTAATAATAAATGGCTCTTTACCCTGGTTCCTCCAGGGATCATGGGAGTTTGTCAATCCAGTCTACATATGTTTTGTGGACTTGGAAAAGGTGTTCGATTGTGTTCCCCCGAGGTTCACTGTGTGTGTGTGCCCTTGTTTTTGCTACTTGGTGGGGACAGTTTTTCAGGAAAATGCAGCCTTGTGGGGACCGGATGGTCCTTGTGGGGACCAAAGCCTGGTCCTCACGAATTCAGAGGCTGATTTTGGGTGGGGGTTGGGTTTAGGACCAAGGTGTGAATTGAGTTTAGGTTAGTTTTAGGGCCAGGTAGGTACCTGTGAGGTTAATTTTAGGGTAAATGATCAGGGTTAGGATATAAAATTTCCAAAAAATGAATGGAAGTCATTGAAAAGTCTCCACAAGGATAGAGAGATATAGTAGGTGTGTGTGTGTGTGGTGGGGTGGATCTGTGAGTATGGGATTGTGGGTGTACTGTTACAGGCCATTCAGCCCTTGTACAGGGGGGTGCGAGAGTTTGGTTCCCAGTGCCGGCAATTAGTTGGACCCATTCAGGGTGGGAGTCGTACATGCAACCTGACTCTGGAACAAGCGGTAGATGATGGATGGATGGATGGATGGATGGATGGATGGATGGATGGATGGATGGATGGATGGATGGATGGATGGATGGATGGATGGATGGATGGACAGACAATTATTTGGATAAAAAAGGAAGGTCAGAATATAAAAAAATAAAATGAAAGTAGAATTGCATCCCCTGCCAACTTAACATGTCAGCATTTCTGTCAGAGTAACATCCACATTAACACCAGGATACAAGGTCACCCAGAGTGTGTTCACCTCATCTGTCAGAGGCTGAAGGATGGAGGATGATGTTCTGACAGTTGGTAGCAGGAGGCTTCCTTTGTTTTTACCTCTCTAACATTAAAGGCTGTTTAGTTGTTGTGCTTTTGTTTGTTTTCAAGGAACACAGGAGGAATAAAAATGAGTCTTTTAACCCCCACATTAAAAAAGTTACCAGGATTGCCTTCTTTTGCATAATATCACTAAAATTAGAAACATTTTGTCCAAAAAGGATGCAGAAAAACTGATCCATGCATTTATCACGTCTAGACTGGATTACTATAATTCTTTATCATCTGGACATCCAAAAACC